AGGCAGGGTGAGTACGCGGCTGTGCCCCGCCAGCGGGGATCCGGGGTCACTCTGGATCGCGGGCGCGGGGCTGTGAGGAGCGGGAGGGGGGGGTCGAGTTGGCCGGGAGGGTGCCCTGGGGGCGGGCAGCGCGCCCGGCCCGGCCCGCTTCCTCCTTTGGCGCAGCCCGGCCTGGGGCCGCCCCCGGCCCTGGGGAGGGAGGGGCTGTCATCACCGCCTCCTCTTGCTGCTGTGTATGTCTTTCTTTTTGATATGTTTATTTTATTTTGTTTTGGTTTTTTGCTTGTAATTGTGTAACTTCAAAAATCCCTGTGTTTAGTTGCTGTGTCATGACTCACTTTGTGGCTGCTGATCCTGGCCGCCAAGATGCACGCAGGGGTTTTCCCCCCTGCCTTCATGGGGATGCTTGTGGGGCTCTTCTGAGCCAGGTGGGAAGAGACGGGCAGGCACACAAAGCCCTGCCAAGGGCAGGGGGCAAATCAAGGGAAGGAGGAAATGCTGGATGTATTACTGGGCTCTGCCTCCTTCCATGTGCCCCCCTCAGGGGGTCCTTTCTTTGGGTGGCATCTTCTACTAGACCCAGTGTGTAATTGGGATCAAGAGACACCAGCTTTTGAATATAAGGCACTCCATTTCAGGTAATGGTCATACTGGCAGGTGGGTCAGGAAAACCAGTTCAAGTGCAATAGTGGCACCCCTGAAGCCTGCTGCCGGCAAAGCCCAAGTGTCGCCCGTGAAATGGAGCAAGCTGTGGTCTTCGCAAACCACGGTTACCTTCATCACGCCAGTTGTGGGCCTCCTCGATTCACAGAAAAACCACTACAGTGCCAGCTGTGTAGATATTCTGCATAAGGGAGGGGAAAAGGGGTGGATGCAAAGTCCTGCCAGGTACAGGAAACAAAACAGCTGAAGTGGATGCATACCACTTTTCCACCCTTTTTCCTCCTCCTTTGCTCAGGATATCTGTAGTTCTGGCACAGTTGCGATTTTTTTCCCCCCCCACGGATTAAGGAGACCCAGAATTGGTACAACAAAGAAAAGCATAGTGTGTGAAGGCCACAGTTTGTGAACAATTGCTCCATTTTTGTCTGACGTTCTGGCTTTTCCTGCAACAGCCTTCAGGGGTTCTGCTGTTGTATCTGAATTGGTTTTCCTGACAAACCTGCCAGTTGAAAGTATAACTGTGACTTAAAGTGGGATACTTTGTGTTTTGAAAGCTTGTCTAACTGTATCCCAGTGATGCAGTGTGTCCAGTAGAAGATGCCTCCCAAAGAAAATCTGGGCCTCTAGTGTAACTGTAAACATTGGTGGTGAAGTAGCATGGGAAAGCCCTAATAGTGAGTGAGAACCATGAAAGGTCTGTGTTGCAAATACAGGGAAGATTACAAGCAGTTTTACAGCTGGTAGCTGGCAAGGGTTTAAGGGCATCCACAGTACTAGATAGAAATGAAATACTCTTTCCATGATGGAGACTAATATCTGACACTTTGTTGCTATTATAGCTGACCCTAACACGTGGAAGGTTCAATTCCACATTAGTTTTTCTGCTCTGTCATTAAATGTTTTCTTCATTTGAACATAAAAGACACACACACACAATTTGTGTTCAAATGAAGAAAACAAGCTTAATACTGCTTCCTCCAGGACAATGGCAAAGCAAAAAAAATAATGCAGAACTGAACCTTCCAAATATATAAAATAGATATTATTTCTTTAGCCTGGACTCCATTTTGTATACAAATACAGGCAATGGGCCTGATCCTACAAAAGCTTTTATATGTACAACTTTATTCACATATGTTTAATTGTATACCCGTGTAAGTGTTTGCAGGATTGGAGCTTTACAAATAAAACCCGTCTGTTAATTCAAAAGCATATTTCTGTTTTCCAGTTTAAAAAAATTAAATATTGAAGACATAAATCTTTACAAAAAAGTAAAGTTTGAGAAGAAAATAGAGATGTTATTTAACATGGCATAGAGCACAATAAGCTTTGATTAATTTGTCACTGGTTTAATTTGCCCTTTGGTTCCTTTCTCCCCCCCCATTATCCAGTTCTAAAAGTTGGTCATTACCAGATAATTTGTCATTATTTCTATTCACATTGCATTGACAAGTTAATCAGAGTTTACTGTAAATAGGAGTATTTAACTGTATGGTTTTAAAAAAATCCCTTTTATTGTTTTCTCTATATTTTCTTTCCAAGACAGAAATCCGAACAGATCTTAGAGAGCATGATTCTTCATTCTGGCACATCAGATTTACACTGAAGTAATGGAGTTAAAAATATGGCCTTAATATTTTTTAGTTGTTTGTTTATTGTTTTTTTGAAGTTCTGAAACTTTTTTTTGCTGTGTATTACAGATTCGTTTAGCTTTGTAAACATACTAGTCAGAGTTACTTTCTCTGGGTAAAAAGCCATACTTTTGTAATTTGAAGAGAAGATAAAACTGTTCAGATTTGGTTCCCTGTAATCTATGTTAATGAATGATCAGTAAGTTAGTTGCTAAAATGCCGGAACAAAGCACTTTGTAAAAACCTGGATGCAGCCTCTCAACTACTATAAAATGTTATAGTTCAGTGACAGTGAAATTATGACAAGATTGACCAGCTAGAGATCTTCACATAATATTTTTATGTCTGAATTTCCTTTACCCCTCCATTACCTTTGGTTTATTGTTTGCAAGACTGCGTTCATTATAAAAGGTTCTCAGTTTAATAAGGGAAAGCCTTCCTTTCCTCTGTCCACACTCCCATTGAAAGAAAATGATCAACAGTAAAGTCAGCACAGAGTAAATTAATTTCACTAAGAAGTAACAAATAAACACTAAGGTGTTTAAGATAATGAAACCAAGAATGTGTTTTTCATTTTGGTTGGAGTTGCTTGTCTGAAAAGTACGGTCTTCAGAGAAGTAATCTGCAACTGATAGAGACTGTTAACTACAAAAAATCAACAGAAGATGAATTGAGCCATTTTAGAGAGTGGAAAAAGTGCTTGTGATGGAAAACAGAAAATGAGGAAGGAACAGAAAAAGCCATGGAGAGCACTATTTTAGATCCACCTTTCTAAATGTTCCTACTTTTTCAGTGCTGATTAGCAATTGTATCTATACAAAGAACTTCAGATCTCAAAGCCAATGTTAAATGAATACTGGAGTTTTTGTGAAAAGTAAAGTTCAGCTTTCTGTTACATTGTTTTAATTACTTCCCATATGTCACTGCCTTATACAAGCTCCATGGGAAAGCCCAGAATGTGTCCTTCAGTGTACTGTGGTGTACCTAGTAACCTTATCTCCAGAGCACAGAACTGGAAGCTTTTGAGTTTTGAATGTTAAGAGGGTTATCAAGCATGTTCAATAATGATTGAGATTCATAAGTTCAGTTATGAACTCGGGGCCAAGTTCTTCCTTATAGATGATGCATATCTAATCTTACCATCATGAATGAGGTTGAAAAGAAAGCTGAAAAAAATATATACTAATATACTTTTATTAATTTGTATTTCAGTGTTTGTTCTAAGGGATGCTGCTGTTCTGAAAATTCTATACTGTAAGCTTTGGTCATGCTATCATTCTGTCTGTTGAATTATCATGAGCCTTGTTAGACCACTTCAACCAGAAACCAATCTAAATAAACAAACTTCCACCCCATGGAATTATCTTATTAGCTATATCTTAACTAATTTTCAAGTCAAATGTCTCTTCATGAGCAATAGAACCTTATAGACTCAATTAGCCAACAAGGAAGTGTCTAAAGATAAAACTGTATCTTCAGTTTATTGATGGCTTATTCCTGCTCCAAACGCTAACATAACACCCAAAAACCGCCCCCCCAACAAAACAAAACAAGCCCCAAAACACTGAAAGGTTCAAGGTATAACAAATGAATTATAGATGAAAGTGACTTAAACCTGAATGCCTCTATAACCAAGGTATCTTTAGGGCCAAAAAGTTGTTGGTAGGCATTAGGTGAGCTGCATGTACAGCTCTTAGTAGGAAAAAAACAAAACAAAAAAACAAAAAAACAAAACCCACACACAACCTACTTTTAACAAAATCATATTGACATCTGTCATGGCGGGGGCCTACAGGAGGGGCGTGACCTCCTTAAGGCCCCCTTCCTCCGTGCCAAGTCGGCCCAAGGGCACCCTCGGATTCTCGCTCGCCACGTCTTTGATGTTCACATAAGGTTGGGAGGCTGCCTTATGTCTCCTTGGACACAGTTATTTCTGGCCCCGTGAATTCCCAGACCCCTTATGGGTTCTGCTCTACCATGGGTGCTTCCTGGGCACCCTAGCCTTATGGGCTGTGTGTGGCTCCAACCACCCCTTATACTATGCCCCAAGCCTCACAGTTGGAATAGACATTGTTCGGTCTCTGTCTAAAAACTCACGCCCGCACATCTCAGGCCTTCTCGGTGCCGCCGTTCATCTCTCCGGGCCTTCTTGGTACCGCCGCCCCCTCCTGGGGCTCCCTGTGCCCACTCTGGGCCTTCTCAAAATGCCGCCCCTCTCCTGGGGCTCTCCGTGGCTGCACTGGGCCTTCACAGTCAAATCGCTCACTCCTAGGGCTCTTCGTGCCCCCTTATCTGGGGCCTTCTCTGCACTGCTGCCCTCTCCTTGGGCCTTCATAAGTGCTGCCCCCTCCTGGGGCTCACTATGCCTGCACTGGGCTTCTCAGTAGTGCCCCCTCCTGGGGCTCGCCACTCTGTACCACTGCCCTCTTCTCTAGGGCCTTCTCTGTACCGCCCCCTTTCTGGGGCTCGCCGTGCCCACACTGGGGCTTCTCAGTAGTGCCCCCTCTTTGGGGCTTGCCACACCCACACTGGGGCTTTTCAAACACCCCTCTCTGGGGCTGGGGTCTAAGCACCCCATAAACTGTGCCCCTACTGGCACTGGGATCCCCACACTACTGTGGGTCTCCTATGAAGCCTCCTCCAACCCCTAATAGCCTCACTCAAACCACCGGTGTAACAACAACACAAACTCAAGCCTCTTGGCTACAACTGAAACATAAGCCACCTGGCTGTAACAACATTGCTTGGACATCTTGGAGCTGCTCCCCTTTACTTTGCTAGCAGTACCTCCAGTCAGGCTTCTCCTCATATCATTACTCCAGGAGCTCGGCTCCAGCGCTCGCGCTCTCGCTCTCGCTCTCGCTCTCGCTCTCGCTCTCGCTCTCGCTCTCTGACTTGGTAAAGAACTGCCTCTGGCCTCAGCCCCTGGGCTTTATAAGAGCCAGGCCTTGCCCCTTACAGCCAGCTGATCGCTGGCAGGTGTGGGTCATTTGCTGACTCCCGTTGTCCGGGCAACCCACAGCTGTGCTCCTTATTCCCTGCTAGGGCTCTTTCTCTAGCAGTTTCCGCCCTCTAGGAGCAGGGCACCTCAGTGCTCTGCGACAACATCTGTGACTAGTTCCCTTAGTCAAGCAAGGCACTGCTCACTATTTTAAGTGAACTATTTAAGTTAACATACCTTGCTAAATCAAATCCTGCTTTGACAATTTCATTTGAGAACCAAGAAATGAATAAGCCTATTGCAAATTATTCTGATTAGAGATAACATTCCTTAACTAGGATTGAGACAACCTCGTAGACCAACAATTGTGATTAAACTTTTACTGCTACCTCTTTGCTTATTCTTTTTGTAAACATCATTGTAGTGAAATCCAGTATCAAATTAAATTTATTCCTTTAAAGCGCAAAATTATTTAGGTAAAGTACTATAAACTATATTTATCAGTCAGTCCATGAAGCAAACTTTATTTGTGTCAGCACGTTAAAAATAAAATAAGTCCCAGGTCTGATAACATTCTTTAATATCAGATTTCATGTAACTGGTAAACAGTTGGGAAGTTAATAAAATAAAACAGGAAAAAACTAGCATGATTTTTCCATTCTTATTGGAAATGTTGTGAAATACTGTATGTTTAACATGACATTGTGTGACATTAAGGACGAAAGAATTTTTGTTGTTAGTTTTTAATTAATGTTTAAATTTCAAACCATCTGAATGCTGTCTCTTGATTTTATTTCATTTTGTGTTTTTAAATGAAGGCTTCTACCCATTCAAAACCCACATATTTAAAAAATGTTGTCATGTTGCTGCCTCAGTCTTCCAGTATTGTTTGCTGATCAGCATGGCACCATGACTAGCCAGGAGGCCAGTACTTTACATTTTCAACTTGCAAACAAATTGCCACTGAATCTGTCATCAGAACAATTACAGAAAGGAACTAATACTTTTATGGGGAGGGGGCTGTGGCCAGGTCCTGGCAGACCGCTGAGTATGACTGGGAGGAGTTTAAACATCCACACTGGCCTGCATGGTCTCCAGCTGCGGTATGCCTGGAGGGAGAAGGGGGAAGCAGCCCTTTCCAGGCTTGTTCCCGAGTGCAAGGTGTGGCTAGATGCTGGCCCTGGGCAGCAGCATGAGGTGAAGGATAAGGGAGGGGGGGACTATACCCCCTCCCCTCCCCTCCCCTCCCCTTTGCTACTGGCACAGGACCCCAGCCAGGGTCTGCCTGGCATTTTTCACCCTTTGAGTGGCAGGGGGCACAGCCAGATGCTGGCCCCAGGCAGTAGCCTGAGGCTGGCATCTGGCTATGCCAGGGACGGGCAATTATTTTGGGTGGAGGGCCACTTACTGAGTTTTGGGAAGCCATCAAAGGCTGCATGACAGGCAGCCAGGAGCAGATAAATATTCATTTTGTAAATTTTTTAGGGGCCTTGCAGGCCAGAGAGAATGGCCTGCAGGGGCCCCATTTTGCCCACCCCTGGGCTATGCTCTTGCCATTTGAGTGGTGGGTGGGGGGAAAAAGCCAGACAGACCTTGGCTGGGGTCCCATGGGAGGATGGGAGAAGGTTGGATTAAACCTCGCTGCCCTGCCTCGCCCTGTCAGCCCCAGCCAGGGTGTGGCCACACCCCCTGCTCTCTGCTGCTGCAAGGAGCAGGACAGGCAAGGCAGAAGTAGCAGTCCCTCTCCACGCAGACCCAGGCTGGGGGTGTCATGGGCCATAGAAGGGGCTTAACCCCCCCCCCCGCCTTAGCCTGCCGGCCCACACTCCTGTCTCCACTCCAGCGGAAGAAAAGTCTGGCAGGGGCTGCTCCACCCCACCAGGCAGACCAGGATGCACCCACAGCAGGGTTTTCCACCCCCAAGCCCTTGTCAGCCAGCCCTCACTGCTCCGGCTAGAGAGCAGAGGGACGGAACCAAACCTGCTCTACTCAAGCAGATAGCACAGCCAAACCCAGGGCTGGAAAGCATCTTGGGATGCTGGGGGACTGTGATTTAACTTGAACCAGCAAGGGGTCTGGGACCCTTCCATAAACTGGTTAGATCTAAATCAGTTAAGTCTGATACTACATTCAACCAGGTTTCTCTTAAACCAGTTTGGGCTATTTTGAAACTGGTTTATGTGCACTGAACTTCTGTTCTGTTACAGGTTTAAACCAGTTTCTGATCACTTAAACTGGTTTATTTGTAACATCTGTCCCTAGCCCCGCTTATACAAGTAAAATAGCCACTGGTACAATGTAGTTGCTGTTTGTCAAATAAATCCAATTGTTATTAAATATTTCTCTAAACACAGTTATTGTTCCTTGTAGGAAGAGGAGGTTTTTTTTCAAGAAGAGGGTGGTACTCAACAGTTTCTATGGGGAGGAGTTGTGCGCTGTAAGCACTTTTGAAAATCTGGCCTGTAGTCTCCGTTAGCTATTTTATTTTCTGAAGTGATTTTATTACAGACTTTCTGTAGTTCATAATTTTATACAGATTTGAGGCTAGACAGCCCTTCTGTCTAACAGTTCCTTGGTTGAAGGTAATGGTGGTGTTTAGAAGTGTATGAAGTTATTTTAAGATTCCGAATCAAGAGGAAAAGTCATTTCTGCCTAACGTAGTTTCAGCTTGAAAAGTGTACAGCCAAAATCTCCTGAGTCCTACCCAACAGAAAATAATAAGCATGTCCTTGTTATTAACAAGGAAAAGTAGATGATATTTGTATATTTAAAAACATGTGACATCATTTAGATACCTTAACATATATGTTGAGTAAGTTTGTAGGAGATTGCTGAAACGTAGCAAACTAAGTTTTTGAACTCCCAAGAACAGCACTGGCTACTGCTTTGTAATGGCATATAACACTTTTAATGGCATATAACATTTTCTTTTGGAAGACTAGCATTACTAAAACTGCGTTTTCAAAATAAAACAAAAATTAATACTGAAATAATAATTAAAGGTGCATGAGAGTCTGCTAAGTTAAAATACACTAACTTCACAGTTACATTCTGTAATGGGTTAGAACTAGTTTCAAATATTACAGCTGGCTCATGTCAAGTTTCAGAAATGTCACCTTTTTGGTTAGTGTTTTTCTTTCCTTTCTTGTTGTTTACATGAATATCTGACACAATAAACAATAATGAAACTGATTGTGTACAAAATGCTCTTGTATATACAAAGCAATAACGCCTAATATTGAGGTTTGTAATCTCTCAGTTTCAGTAATCATGGGGTTTTTCATCTGTAACAAGAGTAGCTAGCTGCACATAAAAGGAAAAAAAAAGAACTCTGCAACTTTACAGTATTCCCAAAGTCATGTCTCAGGAATATTTGAATGATTTCATCTTATTCTGCCATTATCAAAGAAATGTAAGACACAATGTACATTATTAGTATTCTCTGCATTGTTCTACCAGTGATAACAATGAGGGAAGCACATGACACTGGTAGGTAGATGATGGCTTTTATAATGTTTTTTACCTAGACCTGCTTGAAAAGGTGTGGACAACTAACTTTGTTAAAAAGCCAACAACTGCTTGGAGCCTTGTCAGTGACAGTGCTTCCAATCTTGCTGCACAAGGGTTAGCAAAGGAGGAATTTATTTCCAGGGAAAAAAGGAAGCCTGGCATACAGACACCCTTTAGGTTCTAATGTCAATAGGATTTTGGCTTAAATTACGAGAAGTGAATTTCTCCACATAACATTTGTCCGGTATATGGGTTGTTGAACTTTCCCTTTGTATATCTTCTCCAAATACTTGAAGATTTATGTGCATGGACTCACTTGGTCACTGGGCTTAAATGGTTACCTCTGTACAATTTCAAATTTACTTCTGGAAAACATAGATTATGTAAAGCAGAGAGAAAAATCAGCACCAAGGATGACACTGAAAGTACAGCAGAAAGAAAGAGATCCTAATGCAGAAGGAAAAGATATGGGATGGAGTACTGAGTGAGGATTGTACTGTAAAACAGCTATTATTTATGTCTGCAGATTTCACTGTTACTACAGAGTTTTTGAGCACACAATGGGCACCTTTCCAAAACCCTAGTTATCAGAAAGGAAATAAGAAGCCCGCCATAGTTCAGTGTTGTTGTGTAGCGCAAGATAATCTGTGTCTAGTATAACTCCTGCGATTTTCATTTCCCTTGTTTGTCTCTCTCCCTGTAATCCTTATTTTAGTAAGCAAAAGAAGCCTGTTAATTAACTAGGTTAATAATTAGAGTTGCTTGGCTTTCACAGTTACTTTTAAGATCTGGAATGTACATGTAAAAATAAAGGGGAAAGCAAACCAATTTGTAAAGAAAAAAAGAACATACAGGTTTGAGCATTTCTCAACCTTGACTAAAATCATTAAGCACTAGAAAACTTGAGAAAAGACTGCTTTCAAGACATCCAGACAGATGAGGTTGATGGTTGTGGCTGTTTGTTTGATTTCTTTTGTTTTTTTGGCTTGATTTATGTTCTGTGGTCTGCTTCTGAAAGAGGAGATGAGATTTGTTTTTTCTCTACTAGCAAGTAGAATAAAACAAGCTTTATATAAAGTTTTATGGAATTTATACAGGTGGTCATCTTTCTCATCAAGCGTCTAAAACTGTTCTCAGGTTTTTTGTGGCAAGGTTATGGTTATCTTTCTAAAAGTCTATGAATAGAAACTATTGCCCATTATATTATATAGATTTTCAAAGTAATTTCTCTAGAACTCATTAATATCTGTAAAGCCTTGTTAATTCTCTCTCTGTTAAAGTCTTCTGGGTTTTTTAAACAAAGTGGACAATCTGTCCTTAAGTCGGTTGTTACAGTGAACTGAATATAAGTATATCTGACTAGGAGTAATTCCAGGAGGGATAGAATGGAAGAAATTTGTTTCTAAAATAAAATAGCAGCAGACATTTCTGACCGGGCAGAGTTTGCAGGTTGATTCTCTGAAGAGGGCCTTAGAATCAGGTTGTATTAGTTCATTCTTAGCTGCTCTGATGTAGCTTAGGTGTTTCCAGAGGAAGTTTAAAAGAGAGACGTAGATATAGACACACAGACCCAGGGAGAGAGATGTAAGTGTTGTTCAGCATTTTTACGTGAATAGGCAGATCTTCAGGAGTTAAACTCTTAGGATGTGTTGAGGGGAAGTTGGTAGCTCTGTTCTGTCTTTCCAAAACTGACCTCTAAATTACATTCAGACCAATTATACTTAAAGAGAGTGGATGAAAAGCAGAGGCTTTATCTAGGATCTTCTTAAAGGTTAGTGTAAAAGAAGCATGTATTACTTGGGGGGGGGGGCAGGGTTCTTTTGTTTCAGGTCCCATTGAAGGGTGGGTCTCAACCATAATTTTATTTTTATTTTTTGCTTTCACTTTCATAAATGAAGTTTAGATCATAATTAAGATTTATTTTTTAGATGTTGTCTTATTTGGAGGAATGAGATTTTACAGTGAATTAGTATAAATTGCCTATATACATCCTGTCAGCAAGGCCAGTCATGAGCTTAAAAGTGATAGATGGACATGAAGTTAAAAGAAAAAAAGTTTGAAAAGCTACATATTTGCTGGAGGAGAAGGTATTTGTAAATATTTTCTGAAACTATTGGTTAAGCAGCATCTGAATAATCATCCATCATAGTTAAAGTCCACTTCCTCCCAGAAACCCATGTCAGGTTTAGCTGGAAAAATATGTTAAAAAAAAAGCAAAAAAAAAAAAAAAGCCCAATACTTCCCCCCTAGCAACAAGTCCAGTCCCAAGTGTATGCACTGAGGTGACTGCTAATATGTAGGAGGGAAATGGCTTGCTCTCTTTGAAATCCAGACCAAGTAATCAAACCCAGTAGGTGTGGCTGGGTGAAATTAGCCACTATAAAAGCATAAGCTATAATGAACAAGATAGAGGAAGTATTGGTGTTGTTTGGAGAGGTAGGTCTTGCTTGTTTGTAATAGGAAATCACATTTAGGTCTTGTGTATACTTGGTGTTACTGGGGAATAGCATTTTAAAAACAGATAACTAAGTAGAAAGTAGTCACTCTTATGCTAGAATAAGATTATTCAGACAAGGAGTAAATTAACTTTCAAATGTAAACATGTCCCAAATCCTCAAACACCAGAAGGTATTCAAAGTGCACTCATCTACAACATTCCTTACGCTATTTTAAGCCTTATGTGGCATATCCTGCCCTCATTTAGAATCATGGGATTTCCTCTTTGGTGTACATAGTAAATGTGTTTGCCACTTGATTATTTAATGCCAAAAAAGCCACTTCGTGTGACCTTTGATATCCTTTAATCTCCCTCCCTATTCAGCGCTCACCTTTACCTGAACCTATAAATAAATCCAAAAAAGCAAATGTTCCTCTTTGCTTTTTCAAAGTTCTAGGGTAGCCAAGCTGCTGCTTTGTCCCACAGCAACACAGAACCTCAGCATAGATGGCCTAGGCTCTAGGTGATTCATAGCAAGCTACCATGAAACTCAGATACTTAGTAGGGTTAGGTTCCAGAACCCTTGCAATGGTGAGAGTTATAAACAACTGTTCAGAACTGTGAGGTGATCCCACTCTTTGGTGCAGATTTTATTTTCAAAAAGTGTTGCCTTTCCAGTCAGCAGTGTGAGGCCACATGGCTGTGTGAGCTCCAGCTGAATGGAGAATTAGTGCCCTTTGAAGTAAAAGCTGCAGCAAGCAAGTTGTGTGGCTTGTCCCTAACTCAGCAACCCACTACAAATTTAGCAAATTGCAAACCATGTGGATACAAGTGATCCAGGTTCTACTGTACCTGGCTTTCAGGGACCAAGTTCCCTTTCCATTCAGCGCAGTGTTAAATGCTGTTCCTTTACTTTCTTAAGAAGAAATCGAAGGAAAATTTTGTGAGTTCCCATTCAAGGGAATAATTCAGAAATAGTATGTTTTTGGTTGAACAATTCAGAGACTTTCAGTCCTCCTCGTTGACATCTAAGCTATCTCCTGATTTGTACCCATGGGTCAAGCTCAGTATTTCTGTCATGGTCAAGGTGCTCAATGTATCTGGGCCCAAATTATCTAAGAGCTTGTGTAAAGTTCCATGAAGATTCCTGTTGACAGTTTTTTTGTCAGGTGCAATTTAAAGTTAAAGCACAGAGTTAAAGCTCATCTTTACCGGAATCAGATCTTTCCTGGGGACTGGGCCCAACTGTAGTATGAAATCCTATCGGATGCAGGACCATCACAGGTTTCAGTGCCTTCCATTGCAAGTACAAGGTGCCTTTCTTCAGCCTGTGTTCCCTGATACAAACACATCATAACATTAAAAAAACAAGCAAAACTTCCTAAACAAAACAATACATTGCATGTGCACCATTCCCCCTGAGAGAATGTATGAATGCACTAGGGATGTGATAGGTTAAATGTTTAAATGATAAATATATCCATACTGGTAATGAATTCCTAGTTAACATCAGCATGGGGTGCAGTCTGGTGAGGAAAGGAAGTGGCATGGTGCCACAGGAACAGGAAGGTGGTAGGGTGGACAGGCAAGCAGGAGGAAGGGGGGGGGGCAGGAGTGGGTCAAGGAGGGACTAGTTTCCATAGCTAGTCTGGTTCCTCCCTCCCAGCATGCCAGTGGCTGCAGTGGGCTGGGAAAGTTCCTTGCCTGCTATTGCTGGCCACAGCTTCACATGGGCTATGTTGTCTGGTGGGGCTTGTTGCTGCCACTTCCCTTCCTGTCAAAGGTGCCAGAGAGCAGCTCCTAGCAGCAGCTGTTTCTGAGCAAGTCTGTGCATGGACCCTGGCTCCCCACACTACTGAGCAGGTGGCTGCAACTCCTTCCCTGTGGCAGGCCAGGGCAGGGCAGGCACCAGTCAGGGACTCTGCATCAGTCAGCATAGAAGGTACATGTTATCAGTTAACTATTTAACTGATATAATTAGAAGAGGTTAAATGGATAATTCCACCCCTAGAATGAACCAAACATGGTGTCACTAATATCAGTCACTTAATTGATTCAAGAAAGGGTCTTGGGTCCTATAGAAATACAGGCCATGAATGAGTGTGTAAGCTGTGTGAGGGAGCTGGAGATGGAAGGCTATCCTTCTGGGTCCATGAGAGTGTGAGAGCTGTGCTGAGAGCTACTCAACACAGCTCACACACTCTCATGGACCCAGAGGGACAGCCTTCCAACTCTAGCTCCCTCTGTACAAAACTTAAGTTTATTTCCTATCTATAGGGACTTTTTACCATCTTATACCATCTACACTTTTCCCAGAGCCTGACGAAGGGACTTTGATCCTGAACAATCCAGGACAATTTTCTTGCCATTTTCCAGTTGGTCTAATAAAAGGGTTCTAGTTTTTTGTATGTCTTTTTGTCTCAGACTAACACAACTACCAAATACACCCCTGAATTAAATGAAGAGGCACCTGTGTTTCTTTTAACAAAGAACCTTAGAATGACAGCATCTGCGTGTGCATAGCCACACTGCATTACAGTATATACCCAGATTCTTATTGAGCGCATCTACATGAGACGCTGGCTGTGCAGTAGCCGAATAATACTGTACAGTAGCGCATCACAGAACTAACTGCTAATATGCTGTTGCACAGTATTATTAGGCTACTGCACAGTTGCATCACATAAAAGGTGTTGGTCGGCACTACTGTGCCGTAACTCTGGTTACTGCGCATTTATTTAGTACTTGATTATACAAGTACTAAATAAATGCGCAGTAACCACTGCACAATAGCATCTCATGTAGATGTACCCACTGTGAAGCAAAATATTCTTTATCTCATGTTGGGATCTAAATGGCTACTCCTTAGTTCATCCAATAGAAGGAAAACAAACATTTCAGTAAGGCAGTCTTAAATAACTCCTTTAGGTAAATTAAAAGCTATATTTCAAGGTATGTTTTAATTTTTAATAGGTAAGTCCTATAAATGGGAGTGGTTTGGAAAATTTGGTGCCCCTGCTTTTGTTTTAAGTCATATATGATTAAAGTTCTAAATATAGCTTCTAGATGCATATTACCAGGAAGCAGAAAAAAAGAGAAAAAATAACCACATTTCCCTCCCCATAAAGTTCTGCTGAATTAAGAATAAAGCCAGATTCACTGTTAAATTGTGGCTGTCTTGCATCATCCCAGTAAGGCAAAGCAGCTGTGACCTTTTTAGGTAGCCTGCTGAAATGGGATAGCGCAAATTAGCCAGAATGTGTTGTGAATATAACTTAGAGGGTTTACTGAAAAGCTGAGAGACATTGTTTATGAATGGGTAACTCCACAGTCTTGCAAAGGGAGATACATACCATAAAGGGAGATACATACCATAAAGAACAGTTAAGGCTTGCATCCTTGGCAGCTTGTCAGACTGTTTCCGTCTCACTACCTGGACCCCAGGGGAGTAGATCATTTTGCTCAGTGTTTTGCTTAGGAGGAACTTGGATTAATAATTAGCTTGAAGGTGAGAGTATTTTCACCCAAATGAAAAAATGGTTTCAGAGTCTTGGAACCAATTTTCATTCCACTTCATTGTGGCAGCATAGTTTGAAGGTGCATTTCCCTGGGTTGCTTACATAAGTTGGGGAAAAGCATTTCTGATGCTTACTGAAACCTTGGCCTTGAACTCTTCTGGTTATCCTTTTATTAGCTTCTAAATTTCTAACTAGGAAGGAATCATGCCAAAAATGAATCATTAATTTATAGGAAGGTATTAGTCATAGATGAGCTATAGTCTTCATTTGATCTGTAACTGTAAAATCAAAAAAAATCTTCTGTATAACTTTGTAATTAATTGTTTTAGAATTATCAATCACATTAATAAAAAATAGAACAGAGACCTGTTGCATATCAAGAGTTTTCTGTACAGATACATCCCAAAAAGACTGATAATGGTAGCAAATCTTTAATATAAGCAGGAAAAATAATGTTTAGCACAGTGTCTTTCATGATGCTATGTTGTTGGCTGACGTTGTTAACATCCTGCTACAAAAAAACCTGATTATCAACCACTGCATGTGTGACAATAACTTCTATTGCTATTCATGCTATTCATTTTTGGCTGCATACTATTACCAGTTATTTGTTGTCTGACCAAAGATGTGGCATTACATGTACCCCCAGTTTTAGAATTATACTTCTTCAGAGTTGGAGTTATAAGGTGAAAAATGTATTTGTACACCCAAGTGAGGATGTAGTTTCACCATAAGGAACATCCTTTTCCCAAAGGGAAAGTTTCCCTGTCGTGAACGCTTTCTATTTTTTCCTTGTTTTATTTTATCTCCTTTCTTCTAGTCATAATGGATGGCTGACCATAGTTCTTTGGAGCCTGATAAGTAACCAGGTTTAATTTTTGTATTCTAATTTTCATTTTCAGTCCCCACTTCTCTAATTTATGCAAAGGGTACCCAGTGACCCATTTCCTCCTTACTGATTCTTAATCATTTCCCACATTCTTTTGTGTATCAGTAGATTCTCACAGTTAGGTTATACTTCATTGGAAAACATCCTTAATTAAAATTGTGATGTAAAATGAGCATCCGTTGACTCCTCCTTATCTTTCTAAAATACTTACCTTAACCCATAACGGTTTTTTTTGGAAGTTTGGCTCTACCGAAGCACAAAATATTATAATTACTGGAATATATTAATAGTTTTGCAGAGGCCCAAATATATGTGGGGTAAAAAGGGAAAGGAAAACTAATTCCTGGAAAACTAATTCCTGGAATTACAGTGAAGGGATGAATTTTGATGAAGGCTTTGGCTGGGATTGTCAGTTAAATGGGTGCTGAAAGCAGAGAATCCCAGCCTCTGTCCTTATGCATTCCATTATATGTGCTGAGAAATTTTAGGAGTATTAAGACAACTAGTATTGCTGCAGTGAGATCACTAAAGCTCAGAAAAACTATCTTTGCACTATGAATACATGTGATGTGTTTTCAGTTTATAATGCAATAAAGTTGTTTTTGATACAAGTATTGTTATTGTTGCTTGATGAAAAAATGTCAGTCAGTGAACAGCCATTCTCTTTCTGCTTTCATCATTTCAGCACTTAACATGGCAGAAGATCCCTATATCATGGGAGTGTCTGATCCTCAAGTAAGTATAAGAACACTTCTTATTTGCTCAGATTATGCCAGAAATACACACATTTCTTTTCCTTGACTATCTTAGCAGTTTGTTGTGGGTTCATTCTGTATTACCTAATCATTCAAAAACCTTAACAGCATCAGCAGGATAAATATCAACATAACTTAATATCAAGATCCTGTGTCAGTAGTACGTAATTTACGCCCATGACAATTCCAGGCCTTTGACAGTACAAGTGTAAAGTGACGTTAGTACAAAAGAGAATCTGGCCATTAGGGCTGCTTGCAAATTTTTTTTTAAAAACCCTGCTTTACCGGAAGAAGCAGCGCATTACTTCAACCTGGCTCCTGCAGCGTCTGTAAAGATTGCACGCTTCAGCAGGGCTTTTTGACACTTTCAGCTAAAGCTGATTCAGTCAGCTGTTAAATAAAAGCACCGAAAGGCCCCACTAAAGGTCCTGATCTTTACAGATGTCGGGGAAGCAGGTTAAAGTACCACACTGCTTCTTTTGGGCATGTGTGGGGCTTGGTGTGGGAATGCACTGTTTTTTAATTAAAGCATCAGTTTTGGGGGTCTCTTATGTCTACAAGTACCCTAAGACTTTAAACAGTTTCCTGCAAGTATTATTTCCTATCACCTTGATGCACACTTACACTGAAATTCTTTCAGTGGTGCAAGCATACCAAATGTTGCTAAAATAATACATAAAAGGACTCCTTTATGCAATTTTTAAGTGTTCTCGGTATGAAAGAGATCATTATAGTATATCTTCATTTACAATCATTTCAATAGGACTTGATACTTCAGAACTCTGATTTGAGTGCTGTCTGGTTACTTTGCTTATGATTCATTTAAGTGATGAGAACAGTGCATAATTGAAAGATGCCAATAATACAGGCCATTAACTCATTTTTAATGTAAATACATGGTAAATGGTTTGCATTTGCCATGTGGCTGAGACCTATTCCTAGGGCAAAAACAAAGGATTATCAGACCCACACTCAAAAATAATGAGATTGGAAATGTGACTCTCTATACCTAAGCATCTCTCCACCCCACTCCCAACTGTGAGGGCTACAAATCTACCTTTTTTAAAATGAAAGTTGAGATTCTCACCTACCCACCCAACAGAAGCTTGGGATTTAAGAAAACCCCAGCTACCATGCAACTTACTGTAAATCTGCTGTGCCTGTTTTTTCCTCAAACCTGAAGATTGTACTGCATTTGAAAGCTTGTCTATCCCAACCAGGCAGTTGGTTCAATAACAGATACCATCAACAAAAACCTTTGCCTCTTGCATATTTCTTGGATCATTATGGTTACATTGCTTGCATACTAGTAAAACTTCTGGTTTACAACATTTAAGAACAGGACTAGCTTTTTTTTTTAAGTACATAACATATAGAAGTATGGATTAAATCCTTGTCCAGTTGAGTCTATGGCAAAACTCCTAGGCTGCTTGTATGAGCCGAGCAGTCCATGAGTTGGGGGGGCCAGGCAGCTCCCGACCCAGGTGGTCCCAGGGGGTGCCATAGCCGTGGAGGGAAGCATCAGGCCCCTGCACAGCTCAGACAGGCAGGCAGGCAGGCTCCAGGGAGGAAAAAAAAATAGATCAGGCTTGCTGCTTTTTTTTTTTTCCTTCAATGGAGCCTTCCTGCACAGGCTGCCGTCGGGTCCCACAGACCCTGAGCTGTGTGGGACCTGCCAAGCCCTGAGCATGTCAGTTTCTAGTGCCCTGTGCACTGTTGCACTTTGTTAGGTAGCAAACTAAAACACCTCAGAGGTGTTTTATCTTGCTATGTACCAAAGTTATTTAAAGCGGAATACACCGCCGAGTGTGCAAATAGTAACACCATTAAAGTGGAATACGCTGCCGAGCATGCAAACAACAGTGCAATTAAAGCAGTACAAAAGGACATTTAAGGTTAGTAACAATTTGTTTTGGAGTTGTGGCTTAACTGTGTGAGTATACAAGCTACAGATGCTATTGCATATTGATTGCTAGGTATATAACAAATACATAAGAAGTACTATACTGGGTCAGCCCAAAGATCCATCTAGCCTAGTATCTTGTCTCCAACGGTGGTAGAAGTCTCTATGCGATATAGGATGCTATATAGGAAGAGCACTGAACTGGACAGCTCTAGAGTGATCTAACATCTATTCTATACTTTCCTTGGCATCCACCGTTATTGGTTTAGAGACAGCAGAGGAAACATCTACAACCATCTGCTCAATAGCCATTAATAAATAGCCATAAATAAATTTATCCAGTCCTTTTTTTAATCTAGCTATGCTATCTGTCTTTACCACTTCCTGTGGCAGTGGATTCCACAAGTTAACTACATGTTGCATAAAAAAAATACTTTCTCTTGATAGTTTTAAACTTGCTGCCTACTAATTTTAGCAAGTGCCCCCTAGTTCTAGTATTCTGGGACTTGGTGAACAGCAGTTTCCTATTCGCTTGGTCTAGACCTTTCATAATTTTAAAGACTTTCTATCTCATTCCACCTCAGCCTTGCCCTTTCCAAACTAAAGAGTCCTAGCCTTTTTAGTTGCTCCTTGTATGGCAACTGCTTCATACCCCTGATCATTTTGGCTGCCCACCTCTGTACCTTTTGAATTTTACTACATCTTTTCAGAGTTGTAGGGACCAGAACTGCACTCAGTATCCAAGATGTGGGTGTATCATAGATTTGTATTAAAAAGTACCTTCTAGGAAATAAAAGTGAAATAAACATTTTGATTTTATATCCATTCTTAGTGATGCCCAAAATTTTTATTGGCTTTTTTGGTTACCACTGTACATTGAGCTGACATTTTTAGAGAACCATCTACAATGATTCCAAAGTTTCTTTCCCAAGTTGTAACAGCATTGTGTATGTGTAGTTGAGGTTATTTTTCCCTGGATGCATGATCTTGCATTTGTTGACACTGAGAGCCCTGCTATATGTTTAAATTAAAGTTGGATAGACACCAGCTATACAGTTGTTGCATGTTTTTGAGCACTAACTTTAAAGCTGGATGGCTCTTTTTATATCTGGATAGTCATCTTTATTGTGTGATAATTACTTTGAATGTGTGGTTGGTCTAAATTTATTGTGTGATCAACTAGTTAACTGCATAATATATGTAATGTGTAGCAAGGACCTGAAATTCATCTGCCATATTTGCCCACTAACTTAGCTTGGTGACATCTTTCTGCAGCTCTTCTCCATCAGCTTGAGACTTGACTACCTGGAATACCTTTTATTAAATCCAAAAAAAATGTTGCTTCTGTTTTTAAATTTTCTTCTAAGGTTCATAAAGGGACTATATTTATATCACTTTTCGTTTTTATTTCCTAGAAGGTACTCTTTTTTCTTAGGCATATCTTCTTACTTGGAAAGAGACAAATTAATACGCTGTGGGTGCATCTATGTGTGCAATTAATGCGAAGCAATAAACTCCGGAGCTGTTTGAGCCCAAATAAGCTGCTCCCAGGTGCAGTGTCTACATGTGCACCTAAGACAGCAGCAATTTGAGCTGGAGTGGAACAGTCTCCTTCCTGGCTGGGCTGACCAGATGCAATTTATGCCTCTGATCAGCATTTACACATGCATTTAAGTGCAGTAAATTACTCTGCCATAAGATAGTACTGTCCCCAACAGTTTACTGTTAGTTTACTGTGCCCTAATACCAGCGCATATGTAGATGGTGACACTTTTCTGCGGAGCTTATTAGTGTACTCTGCAGTAAAATGTCCATGTAGACACACCCAATAATCACACTAGACCGATATATTCTTAATTTTTTTTAAATGTTCAAAGAATTTTTTTTAAGTTGAGCCAGTAAAAGTGCTTATTTGACAGTTATTTTTAACATAGTATATACCTTGGAAATACTTTTTAGCTATCAACCTTTGTTCAGTGGTTAGATCAAGGGAGCTATTGGTTGTTGGAATACATTGTCTCTATTATAGACTCTGTCTGACCTTGTATAAGACGTGTGGTGCCAAACTATCAAAAGAGATCGGCATCCAAGCTCTTTGGGATATCTAGCCTGGGGTGCATGCACTCTAACACATTGTATTGTTTATCAGCTCCATGCCTAGTACAATTATAGCATGTATTGGTGAAAATGTTAAACCCTGACTACAGTGTTCTGGTCATTGGCACCAGTAGGGCTGTACTGATTCAAGCTGCATACTGCAAGAAGTGTTACTGTAGACAAGCCCTTAAACTCTGTTTTGATTTGCCTATTTGTAAAATAGGTCTAAGAATAAGTACCTGCCTTGCAGAAGTATTGGGAATCCTAGGTAACATTTTCAGAGTCCTTGAAATCCGCAAATGAAAGATGCTGTATGCTTACAATATATACACACACACACACACACACACACACACACACCCCAATATTAATAAGTATGAACTCTTTTTCAATGCAGATGTTTACAGTGGATCAATTCATGGGAATGAATGCAATATTTAATAATTCAGGTTACATTACTTCAGACATACCACTACGAGCAGGTAAGAGTCCTTGGTATATGGTCTTGGTGACTGTTTCTAGTGTTATTCCAGCTGTAAAGTTATGGGGGAGGTGTTTTCTGATAGAATAATGTTAAAGAGGGTTGGTTTTCATCTAGTTATCTTGAAGATTTTAACTTTAACTTTTAACTATAAAAATGTCAAATGCTTTAAAAAAATGCTTTATGGAAACTCCTCAAAACCTACCTCACTGGTGAGACAAAGCAATGAATGATTAAATGACTTTTTGGTCTAGAATGGAAACTGAGGACTAGATCCTATTCCACCCATGCTACTAAATAATATCCTATTCCATGCTGTTCAAGTTCCTGATAAAATGTTGATAAAAAATGGGTAGGTCCTCCTTACTGCATTCTTTGTGACTTAGCATTAAGGCTAAAGTGCTGGCTTGTTACATAAGTAGATGCACCAATGGATTACATAGACTCAGTTGGGGTCCCCTGATGCAAAGAAGATGGCATTGGCAGTGGGGGGTGGGGGTGGCAGTGGCGGTGGCGGCAAGCAACTGGACATGAAGCCGGGAGCAAGGAGTGGGGTGGCAAGGAGCTGGACACAGGGTGCCCCTTACCTGCAGGGCCCCCTGTGGCCACAGCTTTCAGAGGATAAGACAGGCCGGCCCTGCATATACTTGAACATGCTGGAATAGTATAATTTAGGTGCCTAATATGAAGAAAAGGCCTGAATGTTTTAGCCAGATAAATGTTCTGGTTGAGGAGACTGCTTTAAATGACCTACTGAATTTTTAAAGCATTTTTAGAAGCCTCCAATTTTTGTTCCCAACACAGTATAATGAATACAACTTTTCATTCTGTCTTGAACAATTTTTCACTTGTTGTAGTTGTTCTTAAGGGCATATATTTCTGACTAATAGAACCTAGAACCTGTTCAATTTCCTGTATCATTTGAATGTTTTCCTTTTTAGTGACTTCTGTGTTTCCTGTAAAGTCTAAGGCTGATGTTAAAAGTGTCTAACAGTTTCCTGAATAGAAACAGAGTTGAAAATGCAGAGGTAACCCTGGTATTTTTACCTTTGCAAACTCTGAAGGAAAAAGAGAATATTTTGTGCCAGTATGTTGATCGTTTATTCCCAGAATGCAGCTAATTTAAGAGTGCTGTGCTCTCTTAAGAGAGATCAGGAGGAAAATATATTTATATTAACTTGTAGTGGCCAGTAATTTGTTTTTGGGGTTTTTTGTTTTTTTTTGGGGGGGGGGGGGTAAAGTGTTGTGTGTTTTCTTCCATTTTGATGTGTGTCATTTTGTTTGTTTTGTAATATATGACTTTTAATGTGAAACCAGTTCTCTGACTTTCCCCTATTTTGTTTGCTGAATTAATATATTTAGATGGTTTATGTATTGGGTACATTCAATAGTGATAACAGTGTTGCGAGTAAAATCCATTCTTGAGGTTAGAATTATATATATAATATTTATAATATATATTTAACCACTATTTTTAAGGACTTAAATGATGCATACATCTTGTGTTGCTCTCTGCAGAGGTGCCAGTTTTGCCCTAACATAATAATAAATACATATTTTCTAAAATGACAGGTTTGGATTTTGTTTTAGTATTACTATTTTCTTTCCTGTGTGTCACCATTTATTGTTTAAGGTCATTAGTAATGCATTGGGAGCTGGAATACTAATAATGCAAGTAATTTTGTTTTCAAGAAAAATTATTTGTGTGTGCAGAAAAAAAGCACAGAAGCATTAGCAAACAAATTTTACAATGTGTTTGTGTTGCAGCAGGGTTTTATAAGCACAGGATAGAATTGGCCATTAGGATCCACTTGCACAAGCTTGGAGAGTTACTGTAGCATATTCCCCTCCCCACTCCACCTCGACCCCCCTTTTTCTTTTTTCACAACTTCCCAAAGTCTTTACAGGGTGTTTTTACTTATTAGTTTTAAAATTAAATAGTGGTTGTAACTCTGTATCAGTGTAGCACTTGGAGCTCTGGATTCCCTTGCAATGGTTATGTTTCTTGTATCATGTAACTTTATTTTACCTTGTGATCTTTGATTCAGGAGCAGCCAAACTCATGCCCTTCAAATGAGTCACTACAGCAACTTCAGAAATAGAAAAATGGTTTTTAGATACATTGGCCTTGTTAACAGTAGGAAAATGTCCCTTTGGAAACTGTAAGGGGGAACCCGGGGCTCAGCCAAACCATCTAACCTGTGCTAAGTACCGCTTGTTGTCTATGCCAGATATGAAATCATGTCTCCATAGAAATTCATGGCAAACCTCTCATTAACTTCTATGGAGTCACGATTTCATTCTAAGTTTTTAAGGTATATTATGTTATTTGTTGCATTTTAAATGCACCTTTTTTCTAGTAGAGACATACTGTTAGGCTGAGATCTCATGTACTTAGTACTGTCAATATTTGCAAGGGTGGTCATAATCAACTCTTAGGCCATAATTGTGGGTGACAGTAACTTAGTTTTTAGAGTAGTTTGCTCAAAAATGCCTCTCTTGCACTTCTTTTGTGGCTGTCTGCTGCTGCAAAATTGTTCACAAGTTTGCTGCATGCAAAATGCAATGGGGGTTCAGGTTATTTATCACAAGCAAGCGTTTTATGATCAAGTTTCAGAAAGGCTGATGGCATGTGACTTCCACTAAATATGCTGTAGTGACTTAATTTTTGTAGTACTATCACCATAATGTTAAGGTATCGACTTCCTATTGTTCTTCAGTCAGTGGTGTTGTCATCACTATGAATCTTTTAGCTACATTTATATGTAATTTATTTTGAGGCAAAACATTGTATTATAACTACTGAAAGCAGGAACTAATTGTTCTTTTGTGCCCAGACAAAATAGTAGTTGTTTTTTGAGGTGGCGTTTCCAAAGATTTCAGTCAGGGCTTTAATTCAGCACCTGACAAAATCAATAGGGTATTTACTATTGATTCCAGTCCAAGTAGAGGCAGGCCACCAATGTACTTACGGAGGTCCACCCTACCTATTTGTTTTGCTTAGAACAGTAGAGGCCAACTTTTTCAACAGTCATGCCACAAATTAGCTTTGCCTCCTCTTTGAGTGCCACTCCAGTCCCCTTCCCCTACTTGACCTGCTGCTCTGCTTGGATGCTTTGCTTTCTGCTTCCTGCCCTATCTGCCCACTGATTAGCTGTGCGCCACACAGAAGCTGCCTGTGCTTCTTGCGGCACGTGCGCCACACTCCGGCTTAGAACATGAGATTTGTTTCTTTATCTAAGAAAGTGGTCCTTAAATAATGGCTTAAGGAGTATTCCTTTCCTGATAGTCTGCAAAAGATGATATGCTTTGACAACCAGATATGGAGAAGAAAGAAAGAAATGAGTCCAAGGAAGATTTTTATTTTTTCTCTTACCTGATGGCATTATGAGAGAGAGAAAAATTCAAGTATCAAAAAAACCTCACATTTACCTCTGATGCCAGTCCAGAATCTTTTGGTCATCCAGTGCACATATGTACAATGACTGTAACTAGATTGGCAAGGAATGGGTTTAATATCTAACCATGAATTACAGTATCCTGCCAGTGTAACTGAAGCAAATGACAGCTGGGGAGTTTGGGGACTTTCTGACAGTAGCTCTTTTGCACTTACTATGTCTGCTTACAATACTTAAAAACATTTACAGGTGAATGATTAATTGTTCTCTTTCAGTGCTTTGTCAGTAAGTGCTTTCTATTCCCACCTCTAAGTCAGTTTTAAGTAAAATGTGAATTGTCATTTTACAGTACGGGTGTGGTAGGATATTAGTTTGCTTCACATTCTGAAGTAATGGCATTCTGAGCAAAAAGAGAAGTAGTACATGTGTGCATGCATTTGAGCATGTAATGAAAGGGAGTGTCACTGCCCTTCTTGCTACATCTTAAATGTGTGGTTGGAGCATGTTAGTCAAGCAAGGTTAAGTTGTGCTTTTAAGACAGTGCAAACTAAGTGTCAGGGTGGCTTAAAGGCTGTGCTGTCCACGAGAGATCACCAGGAAACATTCTGAAAGGTGCATGATGTACAGCATGCATTTAAGAGGAGCAAGATACTCCTCCCCATGGGACTAGCCCATCCAGTCCAGTTTGTAGTGAAGGGGTATAGCTGTGGTTCTGCCTCCTCCTCCCTTCTTTTGGGTGAACTGCTTTTGAGTGCAAGGGGTGCAGTTTTGACTGCTCCTTACTTCCTTCTCCAAGCCCTCCACAAAACCACTCAGGAGTAGTGCAGACTTTAATGGGGTAACTTGCATTATAGGGTCTGTTGTCTTGCTTAGATCACTAACTTTGGGGGTTTTGAAAAATAAAGTTTGTACATGTTCCTCATTTTAGCTGTCAAGTGGTCCCCAGAGCGCTAAACTGTAATAAAACTGTGTGACAGCAAGGGCAGAACATAAACTTTGCTGTGGCTTGGGTGAGGGGGTGGGGGCAGAGGATGCTGGGATGCTGGTTTTCAGGGCTGAGCGTCTGAAAAGCAGGGTGCCATTTTTAGGAGGAATTTCAAAGGACCTGCACCTAGATAGTGCACCTAAATAACCCAGAACAGGGGCTGTGTTCAGCAAAAGTCCAGATCCACATAACTTAGCAGCCTGTGGGAGTTGAGTTTAATACTGCTACCTGATGACCCTCTTCAGAGGGGACAGGAACTGAACCAGTGCTGTAACAAAGGATTAAACAAATTAGCCAGGCTGTTAATTCAGAAAATCCATCATCTCTGCAACTCAGGCAGCTTTGCCAGGGGACTGGCTGAGGAGAAACCTCACAAACTCTGTTCTTGGCATTGCCATGGTGGGCTATAGGGCCTGATCCACACTGAGAAGTATGTGCAGGATTGGACCTTGAGAAAGGAAGAAGTAATGTAGAAGTAGGAGGTGACAAGAAACATGAGAGTCTGACTCAAGAGTGAGAGGAGGAAGGAAAGTGAAGAAACACAGCAGTTGAAGAAGGTGTGGGGAAGTGGGACTGTGACTCAGGCAGGAGGGGAGGCAGTGGGATGTGAGGCGATAAAGCGGAAAGAGAAGCTATAGAGCTAATCGGGCTCAAAATCAAGATGCATCAGATCAAACTCTATCTAGTTTAGCTGATTGTTGACTTAAAACAGAACGT